TTCCCTTTTTTCTCAAGTAAAGAGGACTGGAAAAACAAACAACAATAAAGACCAATATTAATGACTTTTGACAAATTCTCCATGGCAAAGCAAATGAAATAAACTGCAAATATAATGACTTTTGACAAATTCTCCATGGCAAGGCAAATGAAATAAACTGCAAATATATTTCTCATTTGTTTCTGGTAATTTTGGAGTGATAATTTTTAGAAGAAAAAGTTGTTTAAAATAAAGTTTCATTGTTAGAAACTTAGAGATCTATTTATTCATTTGTTTCCATATATAGTAGACTCATGTTGGGTTTACTGTTAATATATTGTTCTTATTTGAAATAACAATAAAATTTATTTTCATTACGTTAATTATTTCTCATCACAAATTAAATTTGACTAAATACTGATTGGGTAGAGTGATGTAATATAGGGAAATGAAAATATTGGAAACAAATTCAATTTATGAATAACTACTTGCTTTAAAATCTTAAGATTCTCATTTTGACAAATTAGCTTATACTTTGCCTGGGGACAGATAATACATATGAACTTATACCTACATTTCTGTTTCATAACTTCCACAGGCAAGACTAAGGCCTCATTTGTTTTTTAAGATTAAGACGTTTGAATCTTAATAAACATCTGAATATCAAGATATATATTAAGATTCAGACGTCTGAATCTGAATACACATCTGAATATTAAGATGTGTTTTAAGATCTGAATACTAGATGATTCAGGCTGTTTGTTTTTTAAACATCTGAATAAATAGAATTTATCTTTATTTCTTTATGTGTGTGTGATAATTGGTGTTGGTGATGGCTTGTGAGTGCTGACTAGAGGCGGTGGTTGGTGGTAATTTTGGTTGATGGTGGTGGTTCTTGGTAGTAACGAGTGGTGATTGGTAGCGATAGCGATTATGGTTGAGGATGGTGGTGGTGGGTAGTGATAGTTAATAATGGTGGGTGGTGGTGGTGATGGCTCTGGTTGTGATTGAAGAAGGTGACGGTGGGTGATGGTGGTGGTTTATAATGGTAGACGGTGCCGGCTATGGTTATTAATGGTGATGGGGTGGCTAGTGGTGGTAGTTGAGGTGGGTGAGTGTGTGGTTATGGTTGAGGATGGTGGTGGAGGGGGTAATGGGTAGTGGTAGTGATGGTGGCTATGGTTGAGGATGGTAGTGGTGGTAATTGATAATGGTAGGCGGTGGCGGCAGTTAGTAATGAATATGGATGATAGCATCTTAATAGAATTAAGTCTTTGTTATAGATCTTAATCATACAGACCTATTCGGACCCATTAAGTGGTTGTGAAGTAAAAAAAACAAACACACTTAATGATGAAGACCTGAATAATTAAGATTCAGACTTTAAAAACAAACACACTTAATATCTGAGATTTGAATAATTAAAATTCAGAACTCCACTAAGTGCTGACAAATGAAGCCTTAAGATAATTTGAATAGAGAATAGGCAAAGGCAAGAGTGCTGGTCCAAGGGGCACTAATACTTTGCATAGCTAAAGATAATTTTTCTACTAGCTTATTCGCCTTAAATATTGTTTATTGCAGATTCGATCCCAACATTTGCTGGATAATTTATATTATATACAATAGTTATTTTAATTCGAAATATGTTTTTATTAACTTTCACTAAAGCGAACTTTTTTATTTTAATCTTTGGACCTGTTTATTCAAAATGCCTTGTGTCCAAAGGCATTTCATTTTTTATTAATGATATGCACGATTTCTTTTTCTTCTCTTTTGGTATTGTTTACCCTAAAATCTGAATAACTATTAAATTTGTATTGTGATTTTAAAAATTGTGATTTAATCCAATACTAATTGATAAACAAGGAATCTAATGTATATATTAAAGAGTAAGGTAAGTCAAACCGACGTATAAGCAGACCTCGACCTCGAACAATGGCAACCTCGAGGTAGGTGGCTAAGAACAATAAAATGATAAGGTAAGTCAGATGAACAATAAGCAAGAAAGTGAAATATGTATATTCTCTTCTCAATGATTCGTGTGTTACAAATGATTGGGATCCCCTTTATATAGTGGGGATCCTAAATAAGGTACATTTCTAATTATAGTAGGGAATCTTTTTATACAGTTGTCTAACCGCATAGTACAAATTCGTTCCGGAATTTACGCCGTGATCTTAGGGCCACTGCGGGAATCTCGCTCTTTCTGTTATAAAACCAAACGGTATTATCTCGAGGTTGGTCATATTCGGCCCCGATGTTCATCAAGCACTTCGATCTTCGAGTCTCGTATTCTACCATTGGGCTCGAGCCCGGTTCATACTGAACTTGTTCTCGACACGACTCCTCGAGCCTACAAAATCGGGGACCAGGGGCAGCCCGATGAATTTGTGGCCTAAAACCAGACTTTATGAGGGGCCTTAATTTTTTTAATTTTTATTTATTTATTTGAAGTCTATTTTTTTAATGCTTTTCTTAGATACAAATTTATTAATAATTTTCTTTTAATCAATAAATCCTAATAAGTATTTCTCAATTGACAATATCGCTAATCCATTTAACCTTTCTTGTGGCATTGTTGTTCTTAGGTAAGATTTTATCGATTTTAATTTTGAAAACTTCTTTCAGCTGAAGCAACAGTAACATGAGTTATGAACACTATTCCATAAGCAATTTAGGCATTTGGAAAAGAATTAAATCTTTTTATTTGATTAAGTGTATCAATTAAACTGTTATTTTCTAATTGTACTATTTTTCTTAATATTTTTATTTAAAAAAATAAATCTAGACCATCAATATCGAATTGATTATTATGCTTTAAGGAACGTTCAAGATTAAGGCAATATATTTTTCAAATTTCCCATCTAATGATGTTAGTTTTTACTGCCAAATAGGAAATCAAAAATATTTTCATATGTTTTGAATTGTTCAAATCTATTTTGAATTAAAAAAAAATAGCCTTGTCTATTATGTATAAATGTAATCAACTCTACAGGACTATTCGAAAGATTTTGAGATTTCATTATCAACATGCGCATCAATTTGTTACTTCCTATATATCACACGTTTCTTACGAAATTCGGGTTCGATATTCATTTCAAGTGCAATTTCCTTGGTAGAAATCATAGCAGTGGCAAATCCTTCTTCTATGTATTTGTTAAAGAAATAAATCAAAGTTTTTCACTTTACATAACTCTTTTTTAAACTTATACATAGTCTATTAAACAAAAACAACAACAACAACGACCCAGTGAAATCTCAATAATGGGGTCTGGGGAGGGTAGTGTGTACGCAGACCTTACTCGTACCCCGAAGGAGTAGAGAGGCTGTTTCCGAAAGACCCTCGGCTCAAGAGGACAAAAAGACAAAAAGACAAAAGAAAACAAAAAATGGGGCCTAAAGCGGTTGTTTACTTGCTTTATGAAAGGGCCGCCCTTATCGGGGACACCTGATTTTGATCGTATACATGTATAAAGAGTAGTACTTTTTTTTACGTAGGTACTGGAGTCGTTAAGACTCAAATCAAGGAACGTGATTTAAAGACAATTCAAGTGTGATATTAAGATCTAATTTTGGTCTCTGAGTCAATGAATGTCTCTTAGGAATATGACAAGAACTGAGAAATAAACTGGAAATATCCTTTTTCATTTCATTGGGGGAAATTGGAAAACATTCCCTTGGATTCCCCTTTTCTCAAGTAAAGATGACTAAGAAAAAAAATCAAAAAAGACCAATGACTTTTGACAAAATCTCCATGAGAGACTCTCTCAAATATTCCAATCCTAGTCGTCCCCACCGTGTGTCTTGCGTTTATGAGAGGTGATTTTTAAGAACCCGTTTGTCCATTGATTTTTTTTTTTCGACTTTTAAAAAAAATATATTTGTCCATGAAAATTTGCAGATTTTTGGAGAATTTTCAAAAATGAGTTTTTGAAAAAACTAGAAAGTGATTTGACCGCTTTTTCAAGTTTTATGGGATTTTTTTCCCTGCTCACAAAACAACAATATTGCCCAAATATAATTTTAAATTTTAAATATCATTTTTAACTTAATTCTAATACTAGTTCCCCCGTTCACTTTTACTTGTCCACTATTGACTTTGCACACCCCTTAAGAAATAATAAATAAAATGCATAATTTACCTTGATAATGCCTTTGTGCTAAGCGGGGTCAACAAACAAAATATAACAGCATTTTCTTGAAGAAAGGTAAAATATACCTATATACGCAGTGTTATTTTTTGACGAAGCAGGTTCATATGAACCTTCTTGACCCCACGTGGTCCGCCCCTGTTAGTTGGTGCATAGTCTTAGTGGATTTAGAATGAGTTATTAATGCTAAGGGCAAAACAAGAAAAATAAATTATTTTTCTTGATATACTAAAAGAGATCGGTAAAAATAAAAATTTATTTTTAGAATACTTGGCAACTAAAAGTGAACGAAGGGAGTACTTTTTTTTCAAAAATCATACTAACATTTATCTCCAAACGCCTACTAAATTTGTTATATTTTAATGCAAATAATTCACAAATGGGTCCAGTGAAGTCATCCTTTTTCTTGTTTTCATCATTTCCACTAAAAATTATGTGGGGAGAACTTAACTAGGCCACACGGGTGCTTCTTGCTTTATGAATTTTTTAAATTTCCCTGTAATAATCAATCCCATAAATATGATTAATATCTCCTTAGCCGCCTCAAATGTCAACAAACAATCCCCAATTCAAATCTTTGTCATTCTTAAATTCCTACTTGCAGTAAATTATACAGTAGTAGTATAAACTTTATTGGTGCCGGATGGGGCTGCTCTTCCCTTAATCAGACGTCTCGGGTTCGAGTTTTGGGTAAGAAAATTCTTGGCAGGGGGCGTCGCCCCCGAATGGGGCCTTACGCGCGTGAATTAGGATATAGTGGGGCTCGAATACGGATACCGGGTGAGACCAAAAAAAAAAAAAAAAAAATTATCTTTGGTCTTTCCAATTTGAACCAACCAGGCTGTTTCTTTATTTATTTCCCGAACTAACTCATTTTCATTCTTAAATTCTCATTTGCATTATATTACAGTGTTCAGACTTTATCTTGGTCTTTTCAGTTTGAACCAATTAGGCTGTTTGACCTGTGATTCTGAACCTGGAAATCAACTATGCATATAAAGCAACCCATTACTTCTTCAAATCCCTTATCTAAATTCTTCTAGCCATGAAAAGTATGAAACTTTGCTCTCTTTTTCCTTTTTTAATTCTCTCATTTCTTATATTCTCCTTCCCTTTGACTACATCAAGAATTCTGTTTAGAGGAAATTCATTTTCAGTTAAAGATGATTTAGATTTCATTACTTCCCCACAAAACACATTCACTTGTGGATTTTTTCCCATTGGCAATACTAATGCTTATTACTTTGGCATATGGTTCACAAATTCAAGAGACAAAACTGTTGTTTGGAATGCCAAACAAGATAGGCCTGTAAATAAACAAGGGTCAAAGCTTACACTAAGAAAAAATGGAGCTTTGGTATTAACAGATGTTGATGACACAATTGTTTGGCAAACAAACACAACATCATTTGATATTGAAAAAGCAGAACTTCTTGAAACAGGTAATTTAGTCTTGAAAAATCCACATGGTAATATTCTGTGGCAAAGTTTTGATTTACCTACTGATACTTTATTACCTCACCAATTTTTTACTAAGAATCATAGGTTAGTACCTCCTTTAAGAAAAGGTAGTTTATCACCTGGCTATTTTAGTTTATATTTTGATAGTGATAATGTTTTGAGAATGATATATGATGGTCCTCAAGTTTCAAGTATATATTGGCCTAATCCTGAAAGAGATGTGTATTGGAATGGTAGAACTAGTCAAAATAGTAGTAGATTTGCCTATTTTGATAACATGGGGAGGTTTTTCTCAAGTGATAGGCTGCAGTTCAATGTTTCTGATATGGGGTTTGGGATATTAAGAAGGATGAGTATAGACATTGATGGGAATTTGAGAATTTATAGCTTGGAAAATTCGACGGGGTTGTGGAAGATTTCTTGGCAAGCTATTGCACAGCCTTGTATTGTACATGGAATATGTGGGAGATATTCAATTTGTAGTTATGCACCAGAACCTAAATGTACATGTCCTCCTGGATATCAGATGGTTAATGCAAGTGATTGGAGTAGAGGTTGCAGACCAAGATTCAGTCAAACAAGTTTGAGTCGCGAACATGTGAAGTTTGTGGAGATTCCTAATGTTGATTACTGGGGTTTTGATCTTAACTTCACTAGTTCTATGTCACTGGAATCTTGTAGGACATTGTGCTTGGATGATCCGCGTTGTCGTGCATATGTCTACAGGCGAAATGGTGAGGGAACATGCTTCACTAAAGGCATGCTTTTCAATGGCTATAGGTCTCCTGGTTTTCCTGGTACTGCATTCTTTAAAGTACCTAAGAATCTAAGTGGATCGGAATCAGGTCTTTTGAATCTTGAAAGTACTGATGCAAAATGTGGATCGAGTCCAGAAAACGTTCTTTTTGGTTCTCCTTCAATGTATGAGTTGGATTTTAAGAAGGTGAAGTGGATTTATCTTTACTTGTTTTCTTTCACCCTTGGCGGATTAGAGATTCTATTCGTCGTGTTAGGTTGGTGGGCGTTGTTTAGCAAACACGGGATTCCTGCTTCCATTGAGGAAGGATATAAAATGGTCTCATCGACTCAGTTCAGGAGGTTCACTTATACTGAACTTAAGAAAGCAACAAAAAACTTCAAGGTTGAGCTGGGAAGAGGAGGTTCAGGGGCTGTTTACAAAGGAGTTTTAGCAGATGGAAGATTGGTTGCCGTCAAGAGACTTGCAAATGAGTTTCAAGAAGAATTTTGGGCGGAGATGACAACCATAGGAAGAATCAACCACATGCATTTGGTCAGGATGTGGGGATTTTGTTCTGAAGGGAGACATCAGCTTTTGGTGTATGAATACGTCGAGAACTCATCACTCGACAGGCATCTTTTCAAGTCGGATATTCTTGGGTGGAAACAAAGGTTTGCAGTGGCACTAGGGACGGCTAAAGGTCTTGCATACCTTCATCATGAATGCCTTGAATGGGTGATTCATTGTGATGTGAAGCCTGAAAATATACTTCTCGATAGTGAACTCGAGCCCAAGATTGCAGATTTTGGACTAGCAAAGCTCTCCCAAAGAGGTGGCCCTGGTTCAGACTTCACAAAGATTCGCGGAACTAAAGGTTACATGGCTCCAGAATGGGCTTTGAACCAACCTATCACAGCAAAAGTTGACGTTTACGCCTTTGGGATTGTAATACTAGAGATGGTTAAGGGAAGTAGGCTGTCAACTTGGGTGGTGAATGATGGTGAATGTGATCACGAGCACGAATCGCAGCTTAGAAAATTTGTCAAGATGGTGAAGAGGAAGATTCAGAGTGGAGAAGACTCTTGGGTGGATAAAATAGTGGATCCAAGATTAGAAGGGAATTTTAACAAGAAGCAAGCTGTCACACTGATTGAAATAGGCCTTTCTTGTGTGGAACAAGATAGAAATAAAAGGCCTAAAATGGCTTCAGTAGTCCAAACACTACTGGAATGTGAAGATGAAACAACAATTCTAACATAGAATCTGAGACTTGTAACTCCCAGCAGACTGAATAAAGAGTATCCATTTTCAAAATGTAAAGAGAGCTTGGAATTTGGAAATGAAATTGACAATAATATTCTGTTCCCTTCCCATCTGAATCAACTATTTTGTTCCTTATCTTTTACCATCACTCATATTTTCTTCGAAAAATCGCAAGCAAACTCTTACCTTTGTTATCTCACCTCGTTAACTTCTGCAATCTTGATCATATAGGCTAATTCTGTGATGGAAATCTTTCATCTATAGCTAATTCTGACCCAAGATAGCATGGAAATTGCAAAACTATTAACTAAATGACTCAAGCATACATATAGAAGCAGTAAAAACAAGTACTACAACACAAAGTGCAGGTGCGGTATCTTGCTGATGTCTCGAGTAAAGAAAGGGCAGCCCGGTGCACAAAGCATCTCACGTTCACACCGGGTCCGTGGAAGGGCCGACCACAAGGGGTGTGATGTAGACATCCTAACTTAATGCAAGCATGAGTGGCTGCTTCCACGGCTCGAACCCGTAACCTATAGGTCACACGGAGATAACTTTACCGTTGCTCCAAGGGTCCCCTTCTTGCTGATGCCTCAAGTAAACATGCTAAATTATTGATGTCCCAAGTTTCCTTCTTCTCAACATTGAGTACTATAATTTAGAGCCCATTTGGACATAAATTTTTTTTTATCCTTTTTTCCAAAGAAATTTCACTTTTTTTCGAAATCAGCGTTTGTTCATAAAATTTTCAATTTTTTACTTGAAGATGCATTTTGGAAATTTCAAAAATTTGAAAACTCCAAAAGATTGTTTTTCAAAATTTTCACTCAATTCACTCACAAAACTTCAAAAACAACCCAAACTGAAATTTATGTCCAAAAACAACTCTAAATTTCAAATACCACTTTCACTTGAAAAAAAAATTCGTGTTAAAAAATTTAGCTCAAAGTAATAATATAAAACAAGAAAATAGACAAGAATGTAGGGAGCAAGACATGAGAGATTCTTATTTCTTTCATATATTCAAGTGTGTTACAAAATGACTTCTCATCCTCTATTTATAGTACTACATAGAGGTATACCAAAAGAATTCCATAAATATGCCATTAAGCATTTGAGATCATGGTGGAAGATCACGGGGAGGTATGGGAGTTACAACCATAACTCCATAAGTACTAGCGTAGTGGGAGTTATGGAGATAATGAAGAAGAGTAGTGGGTATTACTCATTTGGTGGTTATGGACACCCACTATAATTATATTTTATAACACTCCCCCTTGGATGTCCATAATAATGTGCCTCGTTAAAACCTTACTAAAAAAAACCCCGTGGGAAAAAAATCTTAGTGAAGGAAAAAGAGTACACATATCTTGTAATATGCATTATTTGCTGCCTCGTTAAAAACCTTGCTAGGAAAACCCAGTGGGACAAAACCTCAGCTAAGGAAAAAAGAGTGCAGCACGTATCTTACTCTCCCTGATGAAAACATCACTTTACTTTTCGGAAATGACGCATTCCAATCCCGTATACCAACTTCTCAAATGCTAGGTTGGTAATGATTCATTGAACAGATCCACCAAATTATCAATCAAATAAATTTGTTGAACGTCTATATCACCAATCTGTCGAAGATCATGTCTGAAAAGAACTTTGGTGAAGTATGCTTTATTTTGTTGCCTTCAATATATCCTTCTTCCAGTTGAGATAAGCAAACAATATTATCTTCAGTATTATTAGAATCTTCTTTTCAAAAAAAAAGTCACACGTCTATTGTGTGTTGAGTCCCTTGCTTTATCAGTTGCTTATCTTAGCATGACTTGAATAAGTATCAACAATTAACTACCTTGTAAAATGATAATATGGCAGTACTCTCACATGCAAATAGATTGTTTGAAGAACGAACTTCAGGAAAATGCCTGCATTTGCATAACCAACAAAATCTTTGCAATATTTGTTAGAATAAACCAGTGTTTTGGAGAGCAAGAAGCGGAAAAAAGTGAGGAGGCTTCGCTTCACCGAAGGGAGAAGCGAGAAGCGAAGCGCGCTTTTTTTTTATGTGAAGCGCAATTTGACACATAAATAAAAAAAAAATTAAATAGGTATAGATAAATGGCCAAGAACTCAATAAAAATACCATATTAAGCAAATGTTTCAATTCTTAAATCAAGAAGTAAATAATAGATACTAAAACTAGATAGTGAATAATCCTCAAAAGTCATAACATATTAAGCAAATGCAAAACAAAATCACAAAAAGGAGCAACATCCTATTCTTCAACAAGATCTCCAAACTCTTGAAGTGTCATCATGTTCGAGTTATTATATTGGTCATCATTTTCTTCTTCTTCATCGGAGGCTTCATCAATTAGGGTTCTACTTGTACTTGTAGATACTCTTTCTTTGCTCCTTAAAGTACTTCCCCTAAAACCATAAACATTCTCCTCAACTCCACTTGCCATAGCAACATGACCAAAAGTGAGACATTCTCCTTCAAATACTTCTTCTTCTTCATGATTTTCGGGGGGCTCCAGTTAACCATTCATTTACTTCATCAATGTTATCTAATAAAATTGGATCAATGATATTGCGAGCTTTGTAACGACGAGCCAATGTTCTATTATATTTTACGGACACGAGATCATTGAGTTTCTTTAGCTCAAGCCTATTCCTTTCTTAGTATGAATCTGCATATAAGTTGTGGAAAGTAATTAAGAGGAGTACTTAGGACGATTGAGATACACTTTAATTTAGTAATAATGTAATCTAGCTTCTCACATGTTCATAAATACTCCAATTTCTCTCGCACCCGGATGAGCTACAAGTTAAGCTTTGAACTCTAATAGCAAATTGTTGCATGTTTGGAACTTCATAACCAAATTGCATCCACCATTCAACTATAGAAGTATTACTTTAGAAGTCAATAACTTAAAAGTTAAACCTCTAAAGAGTAAAACAATTGAAAAAACTTGCTCACCTGGTGCCAATGTGGTTCTGCCTCTAATGGCCGAAGGTAATCCAAGTATTCCATCGGCTTGCATATACACACAAAGATCTTCCCCTATTTTGTCTTGCATCGCTTCATCTAGCACCAATGCAACACATGCATGATACCCCTTCCACACGTCTATATCTAAAGTCTTCTTCTCGTTATTTGTATAAAAGAATCCGGGGTTCAAAATATGCCCTACTTCATGTAAAGGTTGATTAAGCTGATCCGTCCACCTTTTATCAATGATTTCAAACACTCTATCATATTTCCTCCTATTATGCTCAAATGCCTTCTCAATAGCTTCTTTAGCCCTATCCATGGCTTCATAAATGTATCCCGTTGGTGGTGTTTTCTCCCCATCTACCAAACGAAGTACAGTAATCAAAGGACTACCAACTTTAAGTGCTTGAACAATGTCATTCCAAAATTATGGACCAATAATAAATCTCTCAACTTCTTTCCCAATAGCTTCCTTTGCATAGATACTCTCACTCCATTCGGTTGACATGAACAAGGTTCGCAAATTTTTCTTTTGCAGGTAAAAGCTATGCAAAGTCATGATAGCTGTTGCGAATCTTGTCTTACCCGGTTTCACCAAATTTCTTTGGTTTGTGTATCTCCTCATCATGTTCAACAACAACGGCCTTTGACTAATGTAAGAGTGTATCTTGATCACCTTAGCAAAAACTGTTGGAAATCAAATTTCATAGTTAATAAGTATAAGCAATTAACATGAAGGTTAAAATACAAAACAAGAACCACTTGTTCACCTGTAGAATATGGGGCTAACTTGAAAATATCACCAAACATCAAGTTGATACAATGTGCAGCACAAGGAGTCTAACAAATATTCAGGAAAACTCCTTTCAACATGTCACCCGCTTTTTTATTCTCACTTGCGTTATCAGTAACAACTTGAACCACATTTTCTAGTCCAACTTTCAATATTGTCTTCTCAAACAAGTTGAACATTTTATTGGAATCGGTTGAAGAGTCACTAGCATCATAAGATTCAAGAAACACACTACCTCTCGGAGAATTCACCAAAACATTAATGACCATTTTTCCATCTTTTGCTGTCCATTTATCCATCATAATGGAACAACCATAAGTTTTCCATTGCACCTTATGCTCCTCGACAATCTTGTTTGTCTTCTCCACCTCCTTTTTTAGACAAGGACCTCTTACTTCATGATAGCTTGGGGGCTTCATTCCTGGGCCATATTGGCCTACAGCCTCAATGAATTCACCAAAACTATCGGTGTAATTTACACAATTAATTAAAGGGAGCCCCGCATCATAAATCCACCTGGCAAAAGCATCTACAACGCGCTCCCTTAAACTCTTCCTACAAGAATCTAAGTCAATAGCTTCACACTTTCTATTTTCATTTGGTTTTGCGAGAGAAAAAGATTAAGAGGACCTTTCACATTGCTACCGGCGGTGGATGAACCACTTCGACTTGTTGAATTCTTTCTTTGAGATTTTGAGGGAGGTGGCCTCATTGATATATCATTGACTTCAAGATCATCCTCATCCATTTGACTATCTTTATCAAGAAGATTAATCATAGTTGCTCCACATTGGATTTTTTAACTCATTTTTTTCTCAACATAGTCTCTAATTTCTTACTTAACAGAATCCGGAACACTTGGACATTCTTTGACATCTCTAAAACCACCAATTAGATGTCTCTTGTGACGATGTATTCCATCGTTATAAATTTTTTGACAAAAGATACATTGCACTTTTGTGTTAGTATTGCCAACTGCAACTCCATACGCCCAAGCTGGATCTCTTTTTGGCTTGATGCCATTGAATAAGATTGAATTTACTACAATCAACAACCAAAAAAAAAACAGAACAGAACCGTTAATATTTCGAACCAGAACAGTGAAAACAGAGAAACAGAGCATAGATTAGGGCACAAAAATAGAGCAATAAAAAGTGAAAAATAGAAAAAAGAAGAGAAAAATAGAGCATAAATAGGGCAGAAGAACAGAGCATAAATTAGGGCACAAGAACAGAGCAATAAAAAGTGAAAAAAATAGAAAGAAGAAGAGAAAAAGGAGTCGAACAGGAACTAAAGAAAATCAGAGGAAGAGAAGAAAAGAAGAGAAGAAGAGAAGAAG